TATTTTACTAAAAACAACTCTATCTTTGTTTGCATACTAAAACTGCTGACATTTACACTTTAAAGGAGCAACTTTTATGGTATGTGACTCACATCTCAATTTTTTAAATGTAATTTGCTTCTAGGATTACAATAATTCCTAATATCACATATTCCAGGGACACCTAACATTTGTGTAGGTTAATCCGCTTAACATATTAAAGCAATTGCACATGTTCTTTTTCATTTTTTTTCAAATGGTGCCATGGTATAGTCAGTTAAGCCACCACCTAAGACACTGGCATCCCACATGGGTGCCAATCAGTCTTGACTGCTCTACTTCCAATCCAGCTCCTTGCTTGTGGCCTGGGAAAGCAGTGAAAAGATGGCCCAAAGCCTTGGGACCCCAAATCCACGTGGGAGACCTGAAAGAAGCTTCTGGCTCCCGGCTTCAGATTGACCTAGCTCTGGCCATTGCAGCCATCTGAGGTGTGAACCAGCGTATGAAAGGCCTCTCTCTGTGTCTCTCCTTCTTTGTATAAATCTTTCAAATATAAATAATTCTTTAAAAACATGTAGTTTTAAAAAAAAAAGATTTATTTGAAAATCAGAGTCATTATAGACAGAAAAGGAGTGAAAGAGATCTTCCATCTGCTGGGTCCTGACCCCAATGGCTGCAACAGTCAGGGTTAGGTCATGCTGAAGCCAGGAGCCCCTGGTCTCTTCAAGCAATGGCAAGCACTCAAACATTGAGCCATTCTCTGCCACTTTTCCCAGGCCATCAGAAGGAAGCAGGATCTGAAGTGGAGCAGCCAGGACACAAATTAGAGCCCATATGGAACACTGGTGCCCATATAGGATACCTGTGTCACTGGCAGCAGCTTTACCACCAAGCGACAATTCCATTACATATTATGTATATATTATGGAAAGATTTACAGAGACAAGGAGAGACGCAGAGAAAGATCTTCCATCCACTGATCACTCCTAAGTGGCCACAATGGCCAGAGCTAAGCCTATCTGAAGCTAGGAGCTACCTTGGGGTTTTGCACACTGGTGCAGAGTCCCAAGGCTTTGGGCTCTCCTCGACTGCTTTCCCAGGCCACAAACAAGGAAATGGAGCAGCTGGGATATGAACCAGTGCCCATATGGGGCCCGGCAAGTGCAAGGCAAGAACTTTAGCTACTAGGCCATCCCACTGGGTCCAACTATCATACATTTTTTTTTTTGACAATCTTTACATAGTTAATTAGGGTAAAAAGGTTCAAGGGCTACAGGAAAGTGGGTAAGACTACTATTTTTTCCATATTGTTTCCTTCATGTTTAAAGGGGGGTATTAAGGGAGAAGGCCCACCCAATTTCTCACCCTCCCCAGGTCCTGGATGTAGGGTATGCTCCGAGGTTCTTGCTCAAGTGGTTTTGCTATTTCAACAGTTATGAATCGCTGCCAAACTTGCCACTCCAAGCACTAGGAGGTCCTTGAAGAATCCACTGATTGACATAGTCCATCACAGAGTCTCTGTTTGCCCCATATTTCGCTGCCAAGATATAGCTGAGATGGTTGGTTGACCTGTTCTGTCTTCTCTTATTTCTTGGTTAGGGTTCTGAGTCCAGCATTTTGATTGGGGAGATTTCCAAAGAAACTTTGTCTGAGGTGTCCTCAGACCAGATTCCTGTATGTGCTAGCAAGTACAGGGCCCAGCACAGTCCATCGCCCCGATCAGCTGGTGGTTGCAATTGCTGGGTTGGTTCTGTTTTCAGCCCCAACTTCCACTGGAACCAATGGGTGTTGCAGTCCAGCCTGGTTCTGCCCAGCACATACTTGGCCCTTGCATAAACCAGTGCAGTGGGAGCTGCAGCCTAGTAGGAGCGACCCGCAATAACCCCCACCAGGCCCACATCCTATCCTGGTTTGCCAGTCTGTGTACCAGTAATCCAGTCTGTTCCACACCCCATTCCACCCCAGCCACTGTCCTAGTTTTATGCCCTCACGTGGAAGTGGTAACCCAAGAGGGAAGAGCCCACTATTTCCCTCCCAGGCCTCTCCCACTCCCAGATTATGCACTCTCCAGATAGTTTGGTGGTTTGACTTGACAGAACTAGCCCCCAGTGCCAGCTTCTGCCAGCTGTTGCTGTGGCTAAGCCCAAACAACCCTCACCCACTTTAATTTTGTTTGCACCAGTAGGAACAACCAGTAGGAACAATCAGCCCAACCTGGCTTTTCCCTGATCTGGTCCACATGAGGTGCACAGGTGTTGTAGCCCTGCCTAGTCTGGTCTGCCCCCATCCCAGCCCACACTCTCCAGTGGGAGTAGCTGTCCAGCAAAGGAACCCTCCCTTATTCCCCTGCCGGCTCTGTCCCCTCCCTTCCTTGTTCTCAAGCTTGCTGGTTGGGTGCTGTGGTCCCTTCTGGTACAGGCAACCTCACCTTGGCATTCCGTATTGTGCACAAGTCTTTGTTGCGACTGAACCTGGATCAACCCACACTGTTCTGGTGCTTGGATTTGCCAGTGGATGACATGGACAGATTCAGCCTGGTCTTCCCCTGACCCCTGCCAATTGTATGCCAGTGGGTAACTTTCCATGGCCTTTTCGGGGCTGTTTCCTATCATGTTTCTTGCGCTTACCTGCCAGGTCTGTGTCCTGCCAGAGGAGTTGCCCAGGCTCCTCCATCAGAACCTCTCTCAATGCCAGGTTTCACGCTTACCAGTGGGTCCATGAGCCAGCCCTACTCAGTCCACCTCCTGTCATAGCAGGAACTGTGGCTTTTCCTGACTGGCCTTCAACCCAAACTGGTTCTTGCTGTTGGATGTTTCAGCCCAGCCATGGTTTGTTCATACCCACATATGGCTCACACATGTTCAGTAGGGGTTTGAGACCTTGCCTAGTCCATCACACATCTATCCCGGTCCTTCAGGACACCAGAGGGTGTTGGGGTCTGGCCCGGTTTGATACATCCAATCCCAGTCCACACTTGTGCCATGGGAGACAACAACCGTTTCCTGATCAGAACGCAGCCCCCATTCCAGGTCACACACCCGTTGGTGGGAACCTCAACCCAGTCAGGGTTGTCCCCTTAACTCCCCAAACGGGCCTGTTCCCAGCCATAGATCACTTGCATGCCAGTGGTTGCTCTGACTCAGCTTGGCACAGCCCCTCACCTGTCCTGACCTCTGCCTTAGACACTGTGGCTTAGCGTTCCTGGCTCAAGCAGACCAGTAGATACAAGAGCCTAGCTCGGCATGACCTGTGCTCCATCCTGGTCTCTAGTTTTGCTTGTGGGCTAAGGTTGCTCAGTCCTGCCTGATCTACCCTGTTCCATTGCCAATTGACACATTTGCCAGCTGTTGGAGCTACTTTGACCAGCTTGTCTGACCCCCAGATCTGGACCACATGTTCACCAGCAGGAGCTATGACTCGCCAGGGGAGTTTCCCAAGTTCCTCCACTTAATCTACTCCCAGACCCAGTTCTCATACATGCCATTGGGTTTAGGCCAGTGCCCGGCGCAGTCTGGCCGTCCATTTGGCCTTGTATGAGCTGGTGAACGTTGCAGCCCAGCCCACCCTAGACCCTAATCAGGATGCACATTCGGGTGCTGCTGCCCTGACCAGTCCAGACTATTGGGGGTTCCTTTACCTATGATTGATGGCAGGCTCCTTGGTCACATCTAGCTTAGTCCATCACGACCCCAACTCTTGAGATAACCAGTGGGGCTAGAATTTTCACAGGATGTGGCCCACACATCCCTCACAGAATTTACCCCCGGTTATGGTTCTTGAGTGCTAGTTAATGTAATGGCTTGCTTAATGTGACCCTTCTGATCCATCATCATGTTAGGTAACATGATACAATTCTGCTGGATAAGCCCCAAACCATAGCTTTTGCATGGACTGGTATTTGGTGGTCAGCATTGTTCAGTGATTACAAGTTTTACAAACGAAGAGTTACTGCCAATGGGAATCTACGAATGCTTCACGTCCTTGAAGCACAATGGGTTCAACCTGGAGCTAACTAAGCAGCAACTCAAAGAACCAAAACCCCAGAGCTCCCCGGCTGGGCAGCCAGCAGGCAGAGCCTGGCACCAAATGTTGCACTGGCCGCCCGGGGACAGCTCACCACGTGCACATGGTGGCTGTCGTCTGGGATCCAGGCATGAGACACCCCATCCTGAGACCCACCAGCAGCCAGGAGGCTGCTGGAAGTTTAAACTCCCAGGCCCAAGGTCGCGCCCCTCCCCAATCCCATTCACAGCCCAATGAAGGCAGCGGGTGGGTCCCAGACCTGCCCAATCACGGAGACCAACCCCCTTGGTGTACTCACCCCAAAAGGAGCAGTCCCCGGAGCCCAGGCAGGCCCGGGGACAGCTCACTACGTGCACATGGTGGCTGTCGTCTGGGATCCAGGCATGAGACACCCCATCCTGAGACCCACCCAACTATCATACATTTTTAAACACTAAATAATGGCCAGAGTTCAATAAAAACACATTTTGCCACCTAATGCTAAATCCTAATTGCCAAACATATCTATTTATCTCTTGTGTAACACATCCCACTTTCACTTGGTGTTACAACAGGCCCAATTGGAAAACATCGCCTTCCTTGGTTTTCACTACAGTTCGCAGTAGCTGCATGATCCTATTGTGGTTAATGGGACATAAACAGAAATCTGCCCTTGGAACTTCCAGGAAAGCATCCCTAATAAAAGGGGAACAGATCCAACTGACACAATCCTTGTGGTCTTTGCCTTTCCCCTCTCTTCTACATAACATTTGAACACAACGGTTAGCTGTGCAGCTATCTTGGGGGTGGGAAGTAAACTAGATACAGCGACTAAAAACTAGAGGCAGATTTCTTGGGCAGATAAAACAAGGTTACGTCCAAAACTTCTATAACAAAAGGTAAGTGCAATTATTAACTGCTTAAGCCAATGACCCAGAATTCCAATACACTCCCGGTAAACACAATGAATGAAAAATACACATCAATGTTAATTGAAAGGGAAAATCCACAGCTCATACCTTGACAGCATTATTTGGCTTCATACCACATCGGTAAGCCTTTGCTATCTGTGGCGTAAGTTGAGTTTCCTTGGTAAGTTGCCTCCATTTTCTACACTCGGGCTTTGTACACTGAACCTAGATGAAAAAGAATAAGTAATAAATAAATAAGTCATGATGAAAAATCAGTGAGTGGCAGATGTTGTGGGACACCCAGTTAAGTCACTATTTGGGATGGCCACATTCCATTCTGTCTGCTTAAATTCTGCTATTCCACTTCAAGCGCAGTTTCCTGCTAATGCATCTTAGAGGCAACTGCTGACAGCACAAATGCCTAAGCTAATTCCAACAACACAGAAGCTCAGATGGGAGTTCTAGGTTCCTGGCTTTGGCCCAGCCCAGCCATTGCCATTGGAGGTATTTGGGGAGTGAACTGGTAGATGGAAAATTCTTCACTTCTCTCTCACACCTTCTCTCTCTCCTCTTTCACTCTTCCTTTGAAGTAAAAAAACTTTTTAAAAATAAGCTAATTCTCACCTATCATTTCTACCCTTCACCACTCTAACTACCATGTGATGTTACCAAACTTTGGGCAACCTTAAGTATTTTTTTTCTCTCCCTTGCATTACCACTAGCCACATAATCCACTTTACCTTATTAAGGTAATTTCTGATTCAATAATAAGCAAGTGCAAAGGGGATTTGACTACTGCTGTCAGAAAGGTTTAGCTGAAACCCAAAAACCAATCAGGCTGAAATTTTGTTAGTTACCCAAAAAGTATGCACATTATATGCTAATAAATATGGTTCTGTTCTGGGTTGGATCCCAAAACAGTAAAAGTGAGTGAATAAAATCCAGTCTGTAATGTGTTATTAGCACCACAGCTAGTAGACTAAGATACATCATGGTATATAAGATAACATTAGGGGAAACTGAGTAATGGCTATGTGGGAATTCTCTGTACTGTCTTTATAACTTTCTGTAAATCTATCATTCCAACATAAATTTATCTTTTTAAAAGTATATGGTTATCCATATGCAAAAAGAATGCACTCAGATCCTACTTTATACAATTCACAAGAATGAGCTAAAAACAGACCATACGATTAAATGTAAGAGCTAAAATGACAACTCTTACAAGAAAACTGCAAGAACAAAATATTTATGACTTCACAATTGGGAACAGATTCCTAGCTACCTTACAAATAAGAGGAAAAAAATAGACCAACTGATCATCAAAATTTAAAACTTTAATGCATTAAAGAAAAGCCATCAAGGTAGAAAGACAACATACAGGAGAAGATACAAATCATAAATCAGACAAGGGTTTACTATCCAGAATATACAAGAACTCTTAGCAGCAGAAAGCCCACCAAATTTAAAGATGGGCAAAGGATTTGAATACATATTTCCTCAAAGATATGCAAATGGCCAACAAGCACAAGAAAAGATGTATTATTACGGAAATGCAAATCAAAGCTACAATGATATTGCCTCACACTCACCAGGAAAACTAACATCACAAAACAAACCAAGACTTGGTGAGGATGTGGAGACACCTGCACTTCCACACTCTGCAGACAGGACTAGAAAATGGTGCAAAGCAGCCCGTGCAAGTTTGGAGGCTCCTCAACACAGAATCCCCACGACCCACAGTACTTCTGTTCCTGGGCATTTACTCAACAGAATTGCAACAGACATTCAAAACATAGATGAACAGGAATGTGAATGTTCAAAGTAGCACCATTCAACTATTCACAACAGCTAAAACACAGAAATGATCCTGATGTCTATCAAAGGATGAGTGTGAATACAATGTGACACGAACCACAATAGGAGCACGACTCCAAAGCAACAAAGTGTTCATCCACAGCAAGGCGCAGAGACCTCAAAACCATGCTCAGAAGACATCCCATACAGCAGGACCCTGATGAAGTGAGACATGCAAAACAGGTGGATTGGAGCAGCTGCAACAACAGAGGGAGGAAGGCCCTGGAGTGTCTGCTTGCTGGACACAGTCCTCCCTCATGGATGACACCTCAGGGACTGGAAGGAACAGGTGGCTGCCAACCACATTGACTACACCAAGTGCTCCTGACTAGCACACTCCACGACGGTTCATTCGATGTCCTGATTTTCACTTCAAGTCAAGGAATTTTTAGGTGTGCACAGAGGCTCAGAAAAGCCTACGTTTTTAAAACCCAGCAAGTTATTATTAAATGGTGGTAGATAAAGTATGCGCAATCACTAAAATGCATTTTCAAAGAACAGCTAAAGGAAAAACACAGATAAAGTTAAAATAACTTTAAATGTCTGAAAGTTACAAAAACTTACATTTCAAGTGTAATTTTAAACCGAAGATCTACATGTAAAATACAAAATGGTGTTTAAAGAAGCTGAGAAATGACTGGAGCAAAGGATGAAAAAGAGCTATACCACACTCAACAATGACTACAACCAGCCATCTTCAGTTTTGTCATGAGTGGACTTTAAAAAGTGCATGGAAAATGCAAATTATAAAAATGTTCAGGCATGGATCTCACCAGGTTCTTGTACCCAAATATACTTATCTTTTAATTCCATTTTCTCACGAACATTTTGAAGTATTCTAATACCGAATTACCTAAGTTTTCCACGAAAAGAAACAAACAAAAACCCAAAAACAGCCCTAGCCTGAGGAGTCACAGGAAGAACAGTAAAAGGTAATGAAAGAATGGTTTCCACAACACCAGTGGTTTCCCTCTGCTCCTGCTGGACCTCACAGACACACCACAGAGCAGAGAACTGTTCTTACCCAGTAGGGGAGCTGCTGGTCAGCCATGAAAGCTTTGGGGCTAGGTTCCGTTTTCCCATTGCTAGTCCATATTTTTTTCCACGTGATGTATTTCTCGTATCCGTCCTTGTGGCTGAAAAAGTTATATATATCAAGCAATAAGTTATTCAGGTTTTCAGAACAGGAGGCAGGCAGGTCACTATCTAAACCTATGAACTGAACCACCCAAGGTACAAGGAGGGGGCACGGTGATTATGGCACAGTCCACCGAACAGGTTGCCAGAGGGGGAAAGCTGCTCAGCAGCTCTAATACCTAAAATCAACAGAAAGGGTACAGCACTATTTGAAGAGGAAATTAAAATACTTTATTTTAAAATAGTATAAATACTAAATCACTATTTCATCATATATAAAAACTAACATTTCTCAAGATTTACAAAACCTAAGATAGGATTAAATGGAATATTTGATAAGGTTTTTTTTTTCTCTGTATCTTCTTCTTTCTGTAAATCTGCCTTTACAATAAATATTTAAAAAAAAAAGCAAAAAAATTTTAAAAGTATATTCTTCGGCCATTACAGAATTAAACTACAAATAAATATTAGAAAATTTATCAAAGAGGGTCCAAATATTTGGGAATTAAACAATTTACTTTTTTCCTTCAAGATTTATTTTTATTTGAAAGGCAGATTTACAGAGAGAGGAGAGATATTTTCCACCTGCTGGTTCACTTCCCAAAAGGCCATAATGGCCAGAGCTGGGCCAGTCTGAAGCTGGGAGCCTGGAGCTTCCTCCAGGTCTTTAATGTGAGTACAGGGGCCCAAGCACGGGGGCCATCTTCCGCTGCTTTCCCAGGCACATGAGCAGGGAGCTGGGTCAGAAATGGAGCAGTAGGGACTCAAACTGGCACCGATATGGGATGGTGGAGACTTAGATTATCATGTTATGCCACCCACCAGCCTCCAACAATTTACTTCCAAATGGTCAAAAAAGGAGATTCAAAGGAAATCTGAAAATATTTTGAACTGTTGGCAAAGAAAATAATAGTCACGAATATCTGCAAAATATAGCTAAGTGCCTACTGAATGGAAATTTATAACATTAAATGCACTTACTGAGAAAGAACAAAGATCTAGCATTCATAGCATCAGCTCCCCACTTGGGGGACTAGAGAAAAAAGACAGTATAAAGCTAACAGAAGTAACTAACAAGTATTACAGCATAAATCAAAGAAATTAGAAATAATGAAACAGAAGCACTAGCTCCAAGGTCTTCCAGAGCGTGCAGATGGCACAGAATCACCACCTCATGGCACAGCGTTTTTGAGCCCTGAGTGTAAGCAAGCACACGCACCAAACACCGCACGAAAGTGCCAGTCAAGGTCACACACAGCCCAGGAAGGGCTGAAAGAGACAGAATTCATGAGCCGCAGTCCACTCCACTGCCCCACCATGGAAACCACAAACACAAAGGAACAAACCTTCTGTAGTAATGGTCAAAGCATTCATTGCAGAAATGCTCCCCACACGAGAGATGATACCATCGGGACGTGTAGCCATTTTTGGCACATCTGAAAATAGCAAAAACATGGAGCTCTGGTAAAGACAAAACATTTCTATCATTTCCACTTAAGACGCCTCACGACCACAAGCTAAGAGGGCAAACGGGAATGGACAACTGGAGGATGACACAGGCTGAGCATCCTCCTTCGGGATGCTTGGGACTGGCAGCGTGGCAGGCAACGGTTGTTTTGGGACCTCCAGACATTCAGGACATACCTAACGAGGCATACTGAGGATGGGACTGGATCTCAGCCAGAATGGCTATGATCTTCCCCACCGGGCTGGGAGTCTGGGGAGCACTGCAGAGGGTGTGGCATGTAGAAGATACCCTGGCAGTGTCTCTATTACCAATGACTTACAGAATCTCTATCTTTGGGAAAACCACCTCCAAGAACTACGTTCCCACAAAGAATGTTCTGGAGAGAGGTGTCGGACCTGGACCTGCCCTCTCACCGACCTTTCGGAAGCGCTCGCGAAGCACACAGGACACGCCGCTGTGCAGCCAGCCTTTTCACACTTCCTGTACTTCTTCTCCGACCCGCCATCTTCATCTTCTTCTGCTGTCTCTGCTGCTTTCTTCCTTGCCTGGGGGAGAACCAGCCGAAGATCAGGTTCAAAGGCAGGGGGAGGTTTAGGACTGAAATCCTGTCCACATTACAGGTTCTAAACGAGAAGGTCAAATCTGCACACACCGAGTCCCACGCAAATAATTCACGTAATGCAGTAGCAACATACACACGGTGCTTGGACGGGAACTATCTGAGAACTAAGATTTGTGCTAACTTTTCTCGTGAGAAAGTGACATTAACCAAAATTAATGTCATTCTCAGAAATGTATTTCTTCTTCCACTGGAAAAAGTGATACCCTCTCAGTACCATCGATTTTTTTTAAAAACATTTATTTTATTGGAAAGTCAGATATACAAAGAAAAGGAGAAACAGAGAGGAAGATCTTCCATCAGCTGATCCACTCCCCAAGCGGCCTCAACAGGCGCAGCTGTGCTGATCCAAAACAAGGATCCCGGAGCCTCCTCTGGGTCTCCCACACGGGTGCAGGGACCCAAGGCTGTCCTAGTGTGCTTACCCAGGCCACAGTCAGGGAAATGGATGGGATTCAGGGCTGCTGGGATTAAAACCAGTGTCCATGGGATCCCAGTGCTTGTGAGGTGAGGACTTTAGCCGCTAGGTTATGGCATCAGGCCCAAGTATCAGATTTTTAAAAATTCTCATCATGGAGCCTGCCGCAGTAGCCTAGTGGCTAAATCCTTGCCTTGCATGCACTGGGATCCCATATGGGCACTGGTTCATATCCCAGCAGCTCCACTTCCTATCCAGCCCCCTGCTTGTGACATGGGAAAGCAGCAGAGGATCGCCCAAAGCCTCGGGACCCTGCACCCACATGGGTGACTCGTAAGAAGTTTCTGGCTTCAGATTGGCTCAGCTCTGGCTGTTACAGCCACTTGGGGAGTGTACCAGCAGACAGAAAATATTTTTTATCTCTCCTTCTCTCTGCAAATCTGCCTTTTCAATAAAAATAGTTAAATTTTCTTTTTTCATCGTTCAGTTTTTTTCTTTGAAAGAGCTACCCAAGGCCCTCCAGATGCCTGACCAACTACCAGCTCACACCCTCTGCCCGCTTGCAGGTCCCTCTGCCAGACTGGCCACGATTTCCCACATTCTATCACTCACTACATAGTAGTATGTGTCTGCATCGTGCTGTGCACCCCTCCACTCAACTGCAAGCAACCTGAGGACTGGAGTTATGGCTTCTCAGTTCTCCAGTGCCAATCACAATAATACTTTCTGTAAAAGGTACATGGGATCAGCAAGGGAGTAATACCTGCCTCCCGGAGCTCCTCAGAGGAAGGCTGTCTGGAGAATGATCATAGCACGTTCTTTTCTTCGTCCTCCCTCGTGTGGCTGCCATTATAGCAGAAAATCTGCAAAAAAATTTTAAAAACATATAGCTATAAACCGCTGGATATTAGCATCTGGTAGTGTTCTCCAAGTTATCACGCAGACTGGCAGGTGTGAGCACACCTCTGCACCTAGCCTAGCAGGTGTACATAAAACCCCCACTTTCCACGGCTTCCCTTCTCCCAGCCTCAGCATTCCCTAAAGTCGGCAGGGGGACAACGTCCCACAGCAAAGGCAGGAGGATTAAACCACACGACCCAGACAAGTACCAAGCTGCTGCACTAGCACCCCACAGCCAGGCAACACTATGTTAGCACTTCCCACACTTCAACAGGTGAAACACCACAAGCAAATGACCAATCAGCAGCTTACACAGCTGTTTGTCAACCGCAACGAGCAAAACCACCTAGCTTGTGCATTTTACGTTCCTTTGCATCTCACTGTCTTCTTAGCAGTTTCTGACTTTTATCTCCATATACTTTCCAAACACAACACATCTTAGTAAAGTGCAACACCTAAGTATCAAGCACAACATCTTAGCACATGATGTGTATTAAAAGATCTTTGGTGGAATGTTTTACATTCTCAAAGCAGTCTCATGATAGCATCATGAAACAAAGAACTTAAGCGTGCAAAAGAAGCTGCGTTGTAATTATGAAAGATTTACCAGCTATTGGCATTTTTCTCCTATTACATTATATAATTCTATACCTATGCTTAGCATGTAGCCAATAACATACAGATTATAGAATTGTCCTTCACCACCTTTCCTGGCACATATTTACTATACACACACATACACACACAGAACGACAGGTTCAAAAGTAAATACGGCATATCTACGAGTCAGAAGCCTGAAAACGGGAAAGCGTTCTCACAAAATACAAATTCTACAGACGTAGCCTTCGGGAAAAGCTTTGGGGAATCCTGTCATCGTGTTGTTTCACATTTCTGGGTTCTACCAGCATTCATAACAGTATTTTTCATGGCCATCACACGGAAAAAATTCCAATTTGCCACGTACACGGACTTTGGGAAGTCTTGACGTCAATGTTACATGTGATCTTCACTTTCCCACAAACGCCCCGCGAGCTGTGAACACAGCAGCACTGTGTGTTCTGAAACATGTTCTAGTAAGCATTAAATTGCCATTTAGCTCTACAGCACGCATTCTTCTGCCAGAAAAAACATGCCTAATGTTACAAGTACCATCTACCTACCAGTCATCGCACTCAAATCCTATCTGTAGTTTTAGAAGGATGTCCAACCTAACAGACCTCATCTATGTCTCTTCGTCTATATAAAACACATTTCTAATATTATTTACACACGAAACACAAATACAGCATATGTGAATACATATCTATATGTGTATAAATGCATACAATAAAGGCCATAGAGAAGGTAAGTTACAAAAAAAATAGTATGGATTTATAGATTTCAAACCTTGTTTTTTTTTGCATCAAATTATTTAATTTCACTTTTGATGCACTTTTTAAAGCTCCTAGACCCACGCAACAGTCGAAGCTGTCTCCTGACGTGCACGCGTTTAGTCAGCATCCTGGCAGAATGGGTTAAGGCCTTCAGGGAAGCAGCCGGACAACCACATGGGCCCCTGCTTCTTCCCTTGCAAGCCAGCTCCCTGCTAACGCATCTGGAACAGCAGCAGCCTGTGAGCCCAGTCCTTGGGTCCCTCCCGCTCAGGTGGGGCGTCTTAACGGAGTTAGGGTTTCCCCAGCCCAGTCATTGCAGCCATCTGGGAAATCAAACAGCACATGGAAGCTCTGGATCGCTCTCCCTGCTTTTCAGTAAGTGTTTTAAAAGAACAACCAAAAAGAAACAAAGACACGTGTTCCTGAAAACAATTTCATCAGACATGCCAGTCTAACGACACACTGCAAAACATGTATTGAACATATTTAATTCAAGAGACAGAAATGAAAAATCAGCTGCAAACACCATTTATTTTCATCACTAATGAGGGTCATCTGCCTCCATTCTTTCTGGGCACTTTGTTATATTTACACTGTTGCAGGGTCCCCTGTTTTAAAATTAAGGTAAACCAAAGCTGAAAGCGTTAAAATTACTGTGCTTCACACACAATTTCAGAAATAGGGATTCAAGTGGCCCTAAAAGCAACCAGCATATTCCGTGTTTCACCCACCTGGGACTTGAAATAAATACTTGACTAAACAGAACGAGGCCATTCCATGCTCAATATCATTTTATTTGCATATTTTCATTCTTAATTTTTAAATCATGCTTAGGTTTTATTTTAATGTGATAAAAGAAAAAAAAAAAGAGAAGGCTATGTAAGTAACAACAGAAGGGAATATACTTTTATCTTACTGAGTCTTAGTTTTTCCTGAAGTTTATCCCAAAAAATTACTTTTTAAAAAACACGCATTGGGCCCGGCGTGGTGGCGCAAGTGGTTAAGTCCTCACCTTGCACGCCCGGGATCCCATATGGGCGCCGGTTCTAATCCTGGCAGCCCCGCTTCCCTTCCAGCTCCCTGCCTGTGGCCTGGGAAAACAGTCGAGGACGGCCCAAAGCTTTGGGACTCTGCGCCCGGGTGGGAGGCCCGGAAGAGGCTCCTGGCTTCGGACCGGCATAGCATCGGCCGTTGTGGTTCACTTGGGAAGTGAATCATCGGATGGAAGATCTTCCTCTCTGTATCTCCTCTCTGTATATCCGCCTTTCCAATAAAAAATAATAAAAATAAATCTTTAAAAAAAACACGCATTGAATTCATGAAAATACGAATGAAAAGAATAGCAGGTTGGAAAAAAAAACGTATAGAAGTGTCAGCAGAATTTCTAAAATTCGGGCAAGCCACTAGAAACTGCTTCCGACATGTGCTATGTGGGTAACTTAAAATCAGGCAGCATTAACGCCTTATCACTCCCACACGAATCCAATTTTCAGAAATGCAGCGATTCAACACCCAATATCCAGTTCAATAATTCAGCCTTCCACCCTCACGGACTGGGAAGTCTTTTATCGACTACTTCCTTCGCCTAGAAGCCAATTAATTATTGATGGTCATTTTCTCATGTACCTCTCCCAGAAACCTTCCTCCCACCCGCCTCTCCGACACCGAGACAGATGAAAACGCCGAAGAAAACTGCCGGAAAGCCTCGGATGCTGCCTCCACGTCCGCCCGGGGATGCCCCGGCACGCGCTGCTCAGGGAACGCGGGGCCTCTCCCCCCGTGGCGGGCACAGAACCCCGCTTTCCCCCTACTGGGGCCTTCCACCTTCCAGCTGCCGGCTGTGAGCAGCAGCTGCCCGCGGCAGCCGGCAAGTCCACACCGGGTTTGCACCGCACCTGCGAGGCCGCGCCCGCTCCTCGCCGCCACCCAGTCCACCGCAGCAGCAGCAGCAGCGAGGGGTGACCGGAGACGAGCACCCCCGGACCCCCAGGCAGCCGACAGAATAGGGGCTTCGACAACACCGCTCGCCCCGGGGAGTCTGAGGGGAGCCCCATGCAGGGCTCACCTCAGAGAGGTGCAAAGAAGCGAGAGAGGGCGCCGCTGCCAGAAGGCAAACAGCGAGGGGGTGCGTCGCCAGGGACCCCCACCTCCTCCTCAGCCAGGGACCCCCTCCTCCTCAGCCAGGCACCCCCTCCTCCTCAGCAGGGACCCCCACCTCCTCCTCAGCCAGGCACCCCCTCCTCCTCAGCCAGGGCCCCCCACCTCCTCCTCAGCCAGGGACCCCTCAGCCAGGGACCCCCTCCTCCTCCTCAGCCAGGCACCCCCTCCTCCTCAGCCAGGGACCCCCACCTCCTCCTCAGCCAGGGACCCCCACCTCCTCCTCAGCCAGGGACCCCCTCCTCCTCAGCCAGGGACCCCCACCTCCTCCTCAGCCAGGCAGCCCCTCCTCCTCAGCCAGGGACCCCCTCCTCCTCCTCTAGACGAGGAACCCCTCCCCGAACCCTCTTCCCACCGGGGCGCCCGGGAACTCGCCCACCTCCTCCGGGGCGACGAGCGCTGCAGCCTGGGCTCGGCGGCTTGGTGGGGCGCTGTCACCCGTCAGGCCCCCGCGTCAGGATCCCGCACCTGGGAGCGCCCGGGAGGCGGTGCGCCCCGTGCCCAGCGCCCAGCGCCCGCCGGCCGCCGGCCGCCGCAGCCCCGCTCGGCCGCCGCTTCCGCCCCTCTGGCGGCGTGACCCGGGGTGGGAGGAGCCCCGGCTCCGCCGGCGTCAGCGCCGCGGCGCTCGCCCCGCCCCGGCCATTTCCGCCCGCCGCGGCGCAAACCCTGGAGAAAGCTGGGGAGGGGGCGGAACCCGGACGAGGGGCGGGGCCTGGGTGGCGGGGCCAGGGACCAGGGCAGAAACCGGGCGAAGGGGCGGAGTCCGAACAAGAGGGCGGGGTCAGATCCAGGGGCGGGGCCAGGGCCAGGGCCAGGGGCGGGGCCAGAGCGAAAGGAGTGAAGGCTAGCAGAAGCAGGCCCAATGAGGGAGAGGGGCCAGGGACCGGGCCCGGCTGAAGGGGCGGGGCCGCCGAGGGGCGGGGCCAGGGCGCCCAGGGGACCGGGCGGCCCAGGCCCTCTAGCTGCAGAAGTCCGAAGCCGACAGCTGGAAAGGTGGTGGTGTCCTGGGGACCTTGTGCGAGGGTGAGATGGGGCGACCCGCGAGGTGTGCGCACCTCGGACCGTGTTCCGGGAGTGGGTTGGTCTGGCTGTCACGGGATTCAGAAGCCGGGGACTGGGAATAAGGAGGTTGGAATGATCTTGAGACTCCCAAAGCCTTGCTGTGCATTAGTGAGACAGAATAGAGTTGTAAGGAGCCGTGAGCCAGGCGGTGGGGAGATAGCAGAGCGCGCGACATGGGTAGTCTGTGGCCGCCAGGGCGTACAGGTGCAAAAGCCACGCTCGCCTGGATCGCTGTTCAGTCCCTCCGTCCCCCAAAGGTGACAAGTAAGGGTGGAGGAGAAACAGTTTCTCTGCAAAGACGGAGGCTAGAGCCGCAGGTGGGCTTGGAAGACCCCGGGAGCGCATCTGGAGTAGTTGAGAAAGTGTCCTTTCCTGACTCTTGTGTTTGGCCCTTTGAACTGTGTTATAAAAGGTTGTTCTTGCTCCAGAAACGGTGTGGACACTTGTCAGTGGAGTGCTTGTGGGGAAACTGTGCTAACACCTAATAAGTGATGATGTTGTTAGAGCTCTCGTTCTGTGCAAGGGCCCTGCAGTTCTCGCTGGCCTGACTCCGATTCTGCCTGCGATGTACCGTGAAGTGGAGGGCTGCTTCGCGAGGGCTCAGTTCAGGGATCCGAATTTCTAGAGCTGGGAAAACTGCGACCTTCTTTTGCTTTCCCATGCTCAGGATAATCAGCAGCGTGCCCCTGACCTCCTAGGACTCCAAAGGGGCCTTTTAAAAGCTGTTAGTGGAAAGTGTTTGCTGAGAGCTGCGTTCCCAATCAAGGCAGAGGTGTGTCATCTTCTTCAAATCCCAAGCAGAGGTCAAATTCATAACCGAATCTGCAATACCTGTTTCTATGTCATCTTTGCTGTTTCGCGGATGATTCACTCATTCAAGTGTATCCCATCCATCATAGCATGACAGTGTCATTCAAACGCAGTTCATTTCTCTGGTTTGAAGGAAATCCTCTCTTTGCATTGTTACATCTTCGATGTCACAAAGTTGACATTGAAGGGCAGGTGGTGGTGCGCTTACACAATCACTGAACTGCAGTTAGGTGGAGGGGTTCTAGTTCTCTTCTGTTGAGAGTGTTTTCTCAGGCAAAAAAGAAGTTATGTGAAGATTATTTGAAAACTGAATTCATGTGTCTATCTTTGCTCCCTCCCGAAACCTCACTGGCACGGGGATTTTAGCGCATAAACCACTAGGATCAAGAGGAGATAAAAGCAGTAAGATTTGGAAATCTAGAAAGCAGGTGAACCAGAGGAAAGGATTGTGCTGACTTAAGAAAGCTGAGCGCTAAACCAGTCACCTGAAAAACCACCCGACAACCCTATTGACTCTACATAATCGCAAATACTCAGGAATTAGAAGTTCCAGGTAACTCCCCGAGCTGGAAAGGTGTGGTTGAAACAAGGAGGATTGCTTGAAATTCTGGTTCGGAGAAGGCTTAATTCAACTCCAGGTCTTGTCGACCTCTTGCACCCAAGGGTCCTGCTCCTTGCCCCACCAGTAGGCTGTTGGGGGGTTTCTTCCCCAGAGGAAGTACAAGTCTGTGAACTGGGAAGATGCCTTATACAGTGTGGGCAGGAAGTATTAAACATTGGGGCTCGTTGAACATAGGCAGACTGGGCGCAACCCTCCCCCACTTCTAGGTTTTTATCATGGGGCTATAGAGCCATGGCCCCAAAGACATAATCCTCACAATTGTGAGAACACCCCAAAGCTGGCCGAGGAAAATAAAGGCAGTCACACCCGGTTTTCTAAATGAAAACCACTCACGTCATCATGCAGGGACCCACTACATTCTTAAGCATCACGTCAGTTCTGGTCGCTTGCTCTGTGTGACTAGTAACAGGGAGTGCTGAATAAGGTAAGCGCGCCCCTACTTTGGAAGACAGATCAGAACAAGCCAACAGAAAAAAAAAAAAAGCCCAGCTTATACAGATAAGAAAAATATTAAAGCCACGAAGAGAATAATAGGCAGATAGAGTATCTGAAAACCAAACGGAGCTCCTGAAAATTAAGGATAAAAATGAAGGTAACCACTCGGGAAACAGGGCAAAAAGACAAACAGATGTAAAATAGAAAAGGTGAGAAATTTACCACAGCAGGATCTACATTATTGGCTGAATGAATCAAGTTTTTTTTTTTAAATTATCGAAATCTAAAAAGTTTGATCAGGTGTATGGAAAGGGGTTATAGCGTTATGAAATTACAAAACCAAAAGCAAAGAAAAGCATTGAGAGAAAAAGATTGCCACATGAAAAATACTGGGACCAGCATGCCTTTGAACTTAAACAGTTGCTCAAGCAAAGCTATCCACCAAGGATAGGGGCGTTTTTGTGTTGCTTAAAGATGTTTAGATATTTATTTGGAAGAGAGAGCGATGGAGAGGCCAAGACAGAGATATTTTCATACTTTAATTCACTGCCAAAATGCCCATGACAGCTGATGCTGGGCAAGGCAAAAGCCAGGTCTCCTGTGTGAGTGGCAGGACCCAAGGGGTAAGACCATCACTCACTGCCTCCCAGGCACAGAAACAGGAACCTGGAGTAGAAGTGCAGAGTACCTGGGACCTCAGGCAGGCCCTCAGGTAGGAGAGATGGGATGCGGGTGTCCCAGGCAGCCGCTGAAGCTGCCGTGGTGCCGTGAGGTCCCCTGAGGATGGGAAGTCTCACATAGGCAGAGATCAATAAAAGTTTTCTCCCATGCCCTTTTCTGAGGAAGTTTCTGGAGATTGTTCTTCACTCATGCATGGGAGATAACCCCAAAATGAAGGAAAGCATGGGATAACAGAATGGGATTCCAGTGAGAAGGAACTCACCAGGATATTAGCACCAAGACGTTGAGAGTGTGTTGACAGGCATTGAGCCCATTGGTGGGGCTTAGAGTTGAATTAGCGACAAGTACTTGAAAATTTTATAAATGACAAATCAAGGAGTTTGTTAACCACGGAATTGAAAAGATGCATGGAAAAAGAGAAGTAGTCATAGAATTCCGAGTAGCTTAGTTAGGAATAGGATTTATCTAGTCATAATAGTGTGTACTCCAAATATTTAATGAAAGTTTAAGGGCAGAAAAGAGGATGTGCTCGTGCATGTGTCTATGTTGAGAAGTTGAAAGACCACCTGCTTGCTTTCTGCAGGAGTTAACTGGGAATGAAGTCGAGATGATGCAGAACAAGTATTTTCATTGAAATGCAGAGGTACAGCTGGAAGAGTTAAAGTGTTGACCCGAGTCATTGGGATGGGGTTGCTATTTTCATAACCGACCTCTTGAACTATTTAAATTAGATATATAATAAGCCATAGAGTAAGGAGAAAATATTAAAGGAATTGAAAGCATGTAAGTAGGACACTAGAAAACATTATGAGCTTAGAAAAATTACAAAATGTGAAATATTGGTGCGTTTTTAGCCCCCTCCTCTGCTACACTTAAACCCTTCTCTACAGTTACTATAATTAATGTAAAGATCTTTCCTGATGTGTAAGTAGAGATATTTTTCACGCCAGAGTCCCTGAAAAGTAACTTTTTGTATAATGACAAAAATTTAAAGCCATATTGCTAAGGAGAATAGGTTTTCATTTAGTTCTGTAATAGAATTTTTATGGGCCCAGCACCATAGCCTAGCAGCTAAGGTCCTCACCTTGCATGCACCGGGATCCCATATGGGCACTGGTTCTAATCCTGGCGGTCCCATTTCCCATCTAGCTCCCTGCTTGTGACCTGGGAAAGCAGTTGAGATGGGCCGGAGCGTTGGGACCCTCCACCCCCGTGGAACAGCAGAAGAGGCTCTGGGCTCTTGGCTTCAGATCAAGCTCTGTTCCACCCATTGCAGCCACTTGGGGAGTGAATCAGTGGACAGATCTTCCTCTCTGATAAAATTTTTAAAAATTGAATTATTATGCCTTCAAGTGACAACATTGCAAATATTTGCCTTTAGGGATTGCAGACGTCTGCCTGTGAGATAATAGTGTGCACAGAACGATGGCTGATGCAAGAACTTTACTTGACACTGAAGAATACCCCGATACTGAGGTGCAAAAAAACCGAGTACTGACTCTGGAAGAATGGCAAGGCAAGTGGCTGAGCCACAACATTGGCTTTCATCGAGACCAAGGACATAAGTAAGAATGTTTGGTACATTTCAGAGAATCAATCAGAAACTGATTTTGAGATAGTAATGGAAATAGAAGTACGTATAATTTGATTGGAATTTTTTTCCTCCCCACCTTGTGTAAATGATGGCGTGCCTGAAATCGATGGCCTAGCACATTGTTTGACTTCCCTTCTCTAGCTCCCTGTTGCAGCCCTGTATTGGTCTTGCACGTGAGCCGTATGGCAGATGCTGATGCAGCGCTGATGCCTGCATTTCTGTACACCCAGGGTGACGGTATTCTGACTTTGCTTTCTAACAGCCATACATTCAGCTCTTACAGTGTCCTAGGAGAGTGGCAGAAGAGAAGCACAGAGGAATTAACAAGTGAGCTCAGATGGTGAGCAATGTGTCAGTGGAAGGGGATTTGGTGGCATCAGCAGTAAAGCCTGGGGCCAGAGCTGAGTAATGTAGTCAGCATACATGCTCCCTGTTCCAGGCAAACACTCCCACTCCCTGGGAGCTCATCATCGTCTTCGTCATCACATTTCCCTGACACCGAGTGATGCGTACGGCAGCATCCCATAAACAGTAGCTAGGTTTTCTCTGTTCCGAGGAAGGCTTAGCAGCGCCATGTCTTCACAGAGCGAATGAGCTCAGAGTTCAGCTTTTCAGAGCGGCTTCTGAAAACTCCTCGAGTTCTCAGGTTCCCATTCCACATCACAAACAAGCACATATGTAAAAGAGTGAGAAAATACATAAATAGATTGATCGATGAAATTAGTATTTTCCAGGGCCAGCATTGTGGTATAGTAGGTAAAGCCACCGCCTGTACCACCAGCATCCTGTATGGGTGCCAGTTTGTATCTAGGTTATGCCACTTCTAATCCAGCTCCCTGCTAATGGCCTGAAAAGAGCAGTGGAAGATAGGCCAAGTATTCGGACCCCTGCCACCCACATGGGAGGCCTAGATGAAGCTAACGGCTCCTACCTTTGGCTTAGTTCAGCCCAGGCCATTTCAGCTACTTGGGGAGCAAACCAGTGGACAAAAGATCTTTCTGTCTTTCCTCTTTCTCAATAATGCTAATTTTTAAATAAGTAAATGGTTTAAAAATGAAAAACAGACCAGTGTTTTCCAGTTAATAAATAAAAGAAGAAAATTTGGGATACTTATTTTTTAATGTGCAATTACTAATCAGGAAAGCCCTAGGTATAAGATTAACCGCTAACTGTGGTTGAACAAGCTACTCATCCTTGATCTTTTGGGTGTGGAAACTGGTTGTAATAGTTGACATATCTACTTGTTAAGTTCTTTGAGAATATTAAGTGAATAACTGCATGAAAACTACTTGGTGTCATATAATTGTAATCCTAGAGCCGATCAAACACAATTTTTTTTTCACTACAGGCTATTAAAGAAGCATCTAGATCTTTTTCTGAAGGGCGAAAGTGGACTAAGGGTGTTTTTTCCTCTTTGTGGAAAAGCCGTCGAGATGAAATGGTATGAACAAGTAACATTAACACAGTCTCTTGAGGACAGATTCCTTGGATAAATCTTTGATAGGATGCAGGTTAAAAAATTACATTTGTAGGAAATGTAAATTTATTTACATGTAGTATGCTCTTAGTGATGGGGCCAAAAATTATGAATAATACTCTCAAATAGTAAGAAATCAAGTAAAAACAGGTTAAGGCTCATCTTTCTGAGTAGCATTTCAAAGAAAAACAGGTTGGCATTGGTGGGAGCGAGAAAAAGAAAAACAGCCTTCCCTCTTAGATCTCCTGTATCTTTGTGTATAGTTTAGTTCTTGGAAGTGGTTTTTGGATTTTAGCTACAATAACTTTTCAGGAGGACTGTACGGCCCACAGAATCATTTGTTCTAGTCCCGCCAAGGTAACAACAGACAGAACTAAAAATTCAGTAAATCTACAGCAGGCTAGTATTTGATCATTTTGTGTAGCCCACCAATGATGGTATTAATATCCAAATAACCCTTGGCTGGAAAAAAAATGCTACCATCCCTGCTCGATTTTTAAAGTGGAGGCAGGCAGAAAAGCTCAGCTTGCAGCTCAGAGCAAGCTTCTCCACCCACTATGAGCGCAGGGGATTTTTTTGTTGCCATGAATCACCATTACAAAGCCAGCGACAAAGCAACCATTCCTTGTGAGTAATTCTCTATGAAGAAAACTCATGCTGATTAACAAAGCCACTATTGCCGTGGGTTACCCACAAGTCACAAAACTGGAAATCATTTTCTATACAGAATTATCTTATAATCATAATATGCAAATGAGGTGCACATTCATTCTAGGTGCGAATGTTGACCGTCTGTTAAGATAGGGAGAAAAGGGACATCATGTTTACTGGATTATTCCCCTTTTCCTAGGGTTTTCTTTGAAATGAGAATCTCAGTATAAAATGTGGTTTTATGCAGGTTTGCAGACCGGGGACACAGTGTAGTTGGTGTAGAAATCAGTGAACTTGCCATACAGGAATTTTTCCTGGAGCAGAATCTTTCTTACTCAGAAGAACCGATTGCTGAAATTCCTGGAGCTAAAGTGTTTAAGGTTGGTAATGGTTTTGGTTATTCTTTGTTGCCATACTCCACAAAAAAAGGGCCTTCTCAGCCCAGATGAATGAGGGTGTGATATGAACGTGAGACGGCTTCCCCTTGTCATACAGATTGACAGGGAGATTTTGTTTGTAAGGAATTTAGGCTTGAAAATATAGCTGGCTAAGTCAGGAGATGTGTATGTATGTATACCGGGGTACTTCAGGCAGTTTGTGGAAAATGGAATGAAGAGCTAAGCTTATTTTTGTGCAAAAAAACCTACAAATTCATGCATAATTTTTATGATATGCATGCCTATGAACTTTATGAAGACTCCTATATATATGGATTCCCAAAAATGTAGCACTGAAATAAACTTACATTTTAACTCCATTTTCCACACATTTTGAAGCACCCTATGTATTTGCACATAGAAAGGGAGGGAGACGCTGGGCTGCAAGCTTCTCTCTACGTCGACTGTCTGTACTTGCCATCTCTTCTCTATACATCAGTTGTCTGCCCTTGGCATTTCTTGGAGTATAGACTCAACCAACCGCAGATCAGAAAATATCAGAATAAAGAAATTGTGTCTGTACTGAGCATGTCCAGTCTTTTCTCGTCATTATTGCCTCACCAGTATAGCATGCTATTATTCATATAGCAAATACATTATACTAGATATATAATAAATAATTTATAGGTAGTTGAAAATATGCTGGAGGGGGCACACAGGTTCTGTGCAAATACAGTGCCATTTTACGTAAGAGACTTGAACACCTATGGTTTTGGGTATTCATGGGGGTCTTGAAACCAATCCCCAATGGATGCCAAATGAGGACTGCACTTGTTTCTAGAAAGATGTGTGTGTGTGTGTGTATGTGTGTGTGTTTTAATTTTCTGAGAGCCTGTCATGTGCCAGCCTCTGCCTAAGACATTGATGCAGTAAAGATAACACAGTGCTCACCCTGCAGAATCTCGGAGCTCACAAGAAGAAACCAGGGACCAAGTCCACCGTATCACACAGAGCTCAGTGTAAATTAAGAGAGCTTCACCGGCTTGGGGAACGATACAGAAATACACATGCAGCTCCCGCAGGAGAGCAAGCACAAGTTACTGGTTCCAAGAGAGTGGGCCACTCGAGGTTAGCAGAGACAGGCAGGCATGAGGGGAGGGGAGGGCGCCTTCGGGGGACCCAGCCCAGGCATCAGTTGGGAAGTGTGTGTGCGGGAGGCAGCCAGTGTGATTGCTTAGGGTGCCTATTCCATTGGTCCTGGAGCAGCAGAGCAGGTGGGTGCATATTAGAGCAGCTGGTGGTCACTGTCAAGTGGCTACAGAGACTGGTTCGGCCTCCCAGGCCTGGGTGCTGGAGAGGTTGGAGATCAGAGCTCTGTTGTCATAAATGCTCCGACTGTTTTCCACTTGTCTGGTTCTCTTTTCTAAATATTGACAACATCAGGTGCTTAGGTGGAGAGCATTGACAGTATTCTGATTGATAGCTTCCTCCCACCTGCTTCTCAGATCTGGTAAGCAGTGTTCTCAGGAGCCTTAGAGAGGCCAACCCTGCCTCCAGAACGCACTCAGATAAGAGGTTTCCAGCCCTGTCTGCATATTTGACACAGGCTTTATGGGGGTTGGGAGGAGGTACCATTAAAATGCAGTAGGATGATTTAATTCTATTTATTTGGCGTTTTCTCTCGCTACCTTTGTTTGGCTTGGATCGTCTTTTCTTCACCAGCAAAGTCCCTCGTAATGAAGTAGAAAGCAGTGGATTATTTTGCCCTTGTATCATTACAGAACTCTGCGGGGAATATCACGTTGTACTGTTGCAGCATTTTTGATCTTCCCAGGTAGGCCTGAGTACTGCACTTTCCTATGCAGATTGGCAATGCTGGGGTTACACCCCGGGGCCTCTTCTCCACTCCTGCCCGTCTGTGCCACGAGCACAAAGCACTGATCAGAGTCTCAGAACACTTATGTGAAGCTCTGTTCTAAAGGTATTTGTATCACAGCCCACATAACACGCTTAGCATGTTGGTCCTTGGCCAACCTCCCAACTACAGGAAACATCCAAGGCACGTTATGTAACTTCTTGAGTTACAACTCAAGAAGGACGGTAAGATCACACCGCCTCAAAGCCATCACACACTGTTTCTAGCTTCTCCTTCATGAGCCCCAGTTGTATGAAGGGCACTGCTGTTGCAACCTCCCAAAGCTATTAGAAGATGGGTGGCTCTCCATCCTTGTGTACCGTTTATGCAAAAGCAGCCATGAGACTCCCCACTGCCCAGTTCCTTAACAGTTGTTGAAGTACCTGCATGTGCCATGCGAAACACTGGGCACCTTGTTAAGAATTAAATTTTTTTTTTTTTACACAAAAATTTCCATTTCTTTTTTCTTTCTTCGTAATAGAGTCAATGTTGGAAAATTTGACCGGGTTTGGGATAGAGGATCGTTAGTAGCTATTAATCCAGCCGATCGAAAGTGGTAAGTAATTTGGTCCCCTTAATTGTGTTAATTATATTGATTTTTCTTTTCCCGGTTTTTTCTGAAGACTTTGTAACTTAGTATGTGGCTTTTTTTTTTTCTGGTTTCAGAAAATTAGTTAGACTTTGGCTAGATTTTATTATTTGAGATTTACTAATTCCAAGTTCTAAGAACTTACTGTATTTACAATTAAAAGCCAAATAAGACCAGACTTGTCTAAAAAGTATGATTTATCAGTAGGGAGCTGGGTAGTAAACCCGTGGCCCTGTCATCTCTGAGCCGTATTACCTGTTCAACATTCTGAACTTCTCCAAACCTTCACTTCCTATTCGCAAAATTAGAATATTTCTACCAACCCCATCATCACCGCCTTTACTAACATCACCAGGTGACACTCTCTAGCTGCTTCCCCATATGTCAGACATTGTTCAATTCCTCTTCCTTTGCGACAGATACTCTCATTATTTCATCAGACAGAGGAGGAAACCAAGGTCAGAAAGTTAAGCAGTACTTGGCAAAGTTGAGATTCAAACCCTCAGAGTTTGGCTTCAAAGTCCGCTCTCAGAGTTACTACATTACGCTCCCGCCAAGCCTTGTGGGAATCAAAAGAAATGACGTACACACGCACTTTAAAAAGTTCACAGGAAAGCATAACTAACGTGTAAGCTTATTGTGGTGCAAAAAGTGTTGAAATCCATGCCTATTTATTTTCGTGGCTTGCATATTCCAGAGGCATATATTTTAAATGTTTACATCAAAATAACCTTGTCTTCTAATTTCCTTTTCCATGAGTGTCTTGAGGTGCCCTTTATGTGTGAGAGGTGGCTTATTAAGCACTAACTGTGATGAACCATCAGTCATGATTGTCAGAACATTAGCTGCTGCCATTGTTGGTCACCATCCTTATTATCCCTAGTCTTAGCACAAAATAATACAAACATATGAGAACACATACTGAGGAAAGAAATGTGATCATAGCCATATACATCCCAACTCAAAAACTGTCCTGTTCGACTTTGCTTGGCTGTAGAGTGTGGATACTGGTGTACTTATATGAGCCAACACATGGTCACAGAAGCCTACAATGCACATTGGTCAACTTAACATTTTTACCTTTTAAAATTATCCCATGAATAATGCTTGTTACCTGATCTGATCTTTTAAAACTTAACTGTGCCCCATCTTCTTACTCTATATTTTCCCTTGGTGGTAGTTCGTGCTCCTGTCTTTCTCTGTCTCTACTCTTCCTTTTTTACTCTTCTGGAACCTTCTTCTTCCTCACATGCGCCCTAAAGTCATCATTCCCATAGAGACCAACTGTCTTTTTTTTTTTTCCTTATGCTTGTCCCTTTAATGATTATTTCAGCTCTCCTATTTCATGTCATCCCATTGTTCAACAAATATTTATCAAGTCTTTGTGAGGATCTAAATATGTCCTGTGTCAGACGTTGAAGATGTTTGCCTGTTTTGTTTGTATTTCCAGCTCTGTCCTTCTTCCCAGACAGTCAGAGCATATTTCTACCACCTAAACTACTTCTGGAACATCAGGGTCCCTAGCAACTCAGTCTAGCCCCTTGCCTCTGCATCTCCACAAGATACCACATTTATGCTCTACGTTCAGTTCTGCCCAATGTCTACATTTACAATGTTCATCCTCTTCTCTGAGGCCAATCTGTTTGGAGGCTTTGCCTTGAGAGGTAGAATCTACAAGGATGTCACTGGGGGCAGGTGGTATCCACTGTCCTCAGCTGCTGGCTGGCATCTAGATGGAGTATGTTTAGCACACAGCTGAGCCTGGTGCATGTTTATTAAATGCATGAATGCAGCAGTTTGGCCTTGAAACATGGGAAAGACACTGCTTACTAAGTCACAACAACATCCCCTACCCTTAGATTTTTGAAGAGATTTATTTATTATTTGAAAAGCAGAGAGGTAGAGAGGTAGAGATCTTTCACCCATGAATTTTATTCACCAAAGGGCCACAACAGGCAAGGCTAGGCTTGGCCAAAACCAGGAACCTGAAACTACACCTGCACCTGCTACATGGGAGGCAGGAGCCAAAGCACTTGGGCCATCACCCACCACCTTTTCAGGTGTGTTAGCAGAGCAGGCAGACTTGAACCAGTGCTCAGGTACGGGAGGTGAGCATCACAAGCATAGTTTAACCTTCTGTCCCACAGCATATGTCCCTGTCGTTGAAGACCAGCTACGTGACCCTTCCATTCATGTTTAACAAAGAGTAATGGGGGCCTTTCTGAATTTTTATTTAGGAAATCTAGTTGTAGCTTGGCCCTGTCCTATTTCTCTTGGTTCTCTCTCTCTCTCTCTTGATGAGTAGCTTTATCTCTGTGTTAGGGTCCAACACTTAGTCCTTAGCAAGTGAGTGCTTTGTCTCATCGCCATGGTTAGTATTGGCTCTTGGGATTGCTGATTGTCAAGAACTGTTGTGTTTTTCATCAGTCCTTCAGAGACTCCTGAGTCTCTGGCATGACAAATCAGTAAGTCCACCTTTCTCATTTTTGTTTTAAATGTTCTGAAACTGGTGGAGATGGAAGGTCTACACTCCAGGAAGAACATGTCTGTGGTTCCTAGGAAACATGGCCAAACCAGTCTGACAGATGACCCTCAGGGGAAAGCACGTGTGTTCCTCTCTCTTCATAAGACTGGGTTGAGCAAACAAAGTCTGAACTCAAAGGTTTACTCTAGGATACTTTGTTCACTCGCCTGAAAGAGTAAGCTGTCATCGTTGGGGGATTTATGTAAAAAATGTAAAAGGCAAGTCCAGCAGCCACCTCTGAGTGCTGAGTGCATAGCAGGCAGCATTCCAAGCGCTGCATGCATGTTCCCTCACCAGGTTCTCTCTGCCGTGTGTGACACAGGTTCTAGCCTCGTCCCTAGACAGGTTGAGAATCTGTTGAACATAGCTGGTATGTGCAGAAGCTAAGGTGTGAGCTGGGGTATCTCTGAGTCCATCCCTAAGCCCCACACTCTCCAGCCCTCCTCATTCTCATAGAACCCTGGACAGCCAGGCTTTGTGGAAACTGGTGGTTGGAGGGGGTGTCAGGGGCTAAGCTTGCTCCCTTTGTAGGGAGGTATTGACCAGCTCTGTCAGTCCCTCATGGGCTTTCCCCTAACCCTGCTCGTCTCTGTGCTCCTCAGCTTCCTCTGCCCACTCCATCTCTGTTCCCGCAGGTCTGCCTTGCTCACCACCCGCAGCCCTCCCACTGCTACCACCCCACACCACAAAAGTACCTGCTTTCCATACACCAGCCACAGCTAACTGGTGACCCCCTAATTTGGTCTCCTAATTCAATTTCCAAGTGGAGTCTCCTGGTTGATAAAACTCATCATCATCCAGCCCCAGCCCCAACACTTGGACAGTCTGCCAGTGGGTCACATTGGGGTCAGACACTCACTCAGAATCAGACATGTGGCTGGGAAGTTGGGCCACCTGTTCTCTGGGGCACCCATCACAGAACACTTCCAGCAGCTCTCATGGTTAATGACAGCCTTGGCAGTAGTTTAACTTCCTGCCACCTTTTCCTGCCTGTCAGTTGGCCTCCAACGAAAGAGAGGAAAGGGACTATAATCTGCATTCTAACATATGTCCCTTGTAGAGGCTCCAGTCATCCAGGATACTTGCTAAAACCACAGCATCCCAGACTCCAAGCAAAACCTGCCCAGTCCTTAATGGGGCCAGAGCTCCAGCAGCTCTTCTTTGAGCATGTGCCCTGAGCTTACAGAGTGAATTGACTGGAAGGTCACGGCCAAGGAGCCACAGCAGATGGAAGGGGCCTTTCTCATCCTTGTGTGATGGTTTATGGTCTGACTGCCCCTGAAACATCCTCATCCATGCCATTTCCTAACTCAGTCCATATGGTTGTTAGAATCAAACTCAGGTGGTCCCAACTAGAGACCATTATGTTCAAATAAATGAATCCTAGAGGGACAAATACCATATGTTCTCTCTGATATCAGGTAAATTTCATGCAAAATGCAAGATCAGTAGATAGGTAGGTAAACATGCATGTACATATGTTCACCTAGCGGAAGTGTATAATGGAGACTCACATACAGAGAAGTGAAGAGACTTCACAATATACATCTCTATTCCCTAATAAAAGGACTCCTAGTGAAACTGTTAAATATACTTTGATGATAGGATGCTGGACTTTCTACCATGGTCCATACCTACAATGTCACGATACACTTACATAGCAGGATGTTGCACTGGTGACTGTTGCTGAAGGACTATACTATTGTAATAATATGGGGGGAAAGAGTAGGAGGAGGGAAATTAGGGCAGGTAGAAGGGGAAATCCCCGAACCTATGGAACTGTATCTTGAAAATAAAAATGGATCAAACTCGGGGACACTAATGACCTTGCATGTGGGCTTCCTTCCCTGTGTCCGCCACCCCAGCCCTGCCTGTGCCGAGCGCAGTAACCGCATAGCTCATTGTGTTCTGTATCCTTTGCAGCTACGTGGATGTGATGCTGTCCCTGCTGAGTAGGGGGTTTCACTACCTCCTGGCGGTCGTTTCTTATGATCCTACAAAACATGCAGGTAATGTATTTTTGTTTCTTGCTCTTCCTAGTTGCCTGGTTTCCTGACTTTATTCTAGGCCACAGAGAATCATTCTGTTGTGTCTCAGCAGACATGCCACTTGAGTGCTTGAAGATAATTCTACTCTTGGCTAGCGTGAACCAGATACATGTTTTCTCCTTCTTACATTGTACATGTTTTTTCCCAAAATGTTACTCTGTAATTTTGTTTGCCATTCATACCTCAAATTATAGAAAAAAAAAGGGGAATGGATGATCCTAATAGAAAAGAGAGATCTCATGAGGCCATGAGAACTCTGCTGGGCCTGCCATGACAACTGCACATCAGCTGGGGCGCTTCTGGGGCAGGACTAGAACATGCCACATCTTCTGTTTGCCTCAGTCAGGTGTTCCTAAAATGAGCATGTCTGGATTTTGGGAAGAAGCCAACAGGTGCACCCCGAGAGTTTATTTCTCTTTAGAATATAAAGATCTGTATAAATTACTCTTCATATTTTTTTCTTCCATCTAGGCCCACCATTTTATGTTCCTGATGCTGAAATTAAAATGTTGTTTGGTAAGTACTGGGCGGTCCTTAGCTTTTCAAACCAAGCCAACTGCTCTGAGCTGTTAGTGAACTGTTTCATGGGTTGCTGTGTGGAAAATTCGCATCTGGAAGTATCTGTAGGAGACCTATTAGTGGATGACCATTTTATCGTAAAAAAGCATGCAGTCTCTATGTGTTTCCTTACTTCTATGCTTTAGGTTAAAGACACAGAGACTTTTCTAGAAGGATGGTATACGGAGGGTTATAAATGATGCCACAGTCATTGGAAGTGTTTTTAGCAGAACCACTGATGACATTCTGCATAATGTCTGGTTTTGATACCACCCTCTTCTTGTTTCAGATGCAAAGTGCAATATTCGTTGTATTGAGAAGGTCAATGCATTTGAAGAGCGACATAAAAGTTGGGGAATCGACTACATTTTTGAAAAGTTGTATCTACTCACTGAAAAGTAGATCAGACGTAAATAAAAAGGACATCATCACTGTAGTTTTGAGGTTTGGGGGGGCCTTTGGAAATTATGCCAAGATATGAAAACATAATGGATGAATTCTTTTCTAAAAAAATTATTCATAAATCATAGAACGTTGCTTACAAATGCACAGAACTTTTTAGGAGAAAGGGGTGTCAGATTAGCTCTCCTGCAGAAGAGACTATGTTTCAGGACAAAAGATTAAACACCTGCGTGTGAACGTGTGCGTGTCTTTCCGAATGAAGGAATTCATTATAGTCAGCATGTAGACTGCAGCAACATTGCTCAAAGAAGAAAAGAAAAATGCAATTTTAGGCAACTAACAGAAAAATAATACATCTGGAAAAACTGACTGTGTTTCAGGAGTTTAAAATAACTAAAGAAAGGTACTACTTCAATCAAGATCAAGTTAGTCTAAGAAATTATGTAAACATTAACTTTTACTATCAGCCCTCATCTTAATGTTCAAATTCTGGCACCTCTTTTGACCTTTTCTTTATGTGTGATTTTATATATGTAACCGAATCAAGAAAGAGAAACTTTTAATTAAATGAATCAACCTACATGGAGCACAATCTTTTTTTTCTGAAGTTATGAATACATTTCTAAAACTTTCTGAGTTTGGCAGTGGTTTATTTCTTCCTTACTACATGGTCAGGCCACTGGGGGGACTGGGTTCATGTCTGGAAGGTTGGATTCCAATTTCTAGGTTTGTCATGACAGTTGCATTTTGTTCAATTACATATTCCTCTCGCTGATAGCAAAGTGGGTTAGACAAGCTCATGTTGATAAGACGGTATGTGTCATAAAATGTAAGTCAGATACACAGAGTGGAGGAGAGACAGAGAGGAAGATCTTCTGTCTGATGATTCACTGCCCAATTGACTGCAATGGCCAGAGCTGTGCCAATCCATAGCCAAGAGCCAGGAGCTTCCTCCAGGTCTCCCGCGCGGGTGCACGGTCCCAAGGCCTTGGGCCATCCTTGACTGCCTTCCCAGGACACAAGCAGGGAGCTGGATTAGAACCGGCGCCCATATGGGATCCTGGTGCGTTCAAGGGGAGGACCTTAGCTGCTAGGCCACCGCGTCAGGCCCTCAAATAGTCTGTTACAGTATGTTGTAATTGTTCTGTTTTCTTACTTATTATTAGTTACTGTTTTTAATCTCTTGCCATGCCTAATTTATCAGTGCATCAAAGATATGTACAGAGACGTCAATCACTTTGATGCTTTTTATACAGACATCCACTGGGAGTCTTAGAACGTACCCCCATGATCAAGACAACGGTACGTGTGTGTGTGTGTGTGTGTGTGTGTGTGCCAAATTAAAGTTTGTCAATGCAAAGGTTTATGAACCTCTTTCTTTGATCCTGATGAAGGCTACACTCTCCCAGGAATTCATCTTGGTGTCCTCCCTGTCCCTCTGTGCCCACATTTGGGAGCCCCTGTCCTTGAAGTTTTCTGCCACTGATCTACTTGAGTACATTTAAAGATTTATTTATTTTCATTACAAAGTGAGATATACAGAGAGAAGGAGAGACAGAGAAGAAGATCTTCCGTCTGATGATTCACTCCCCAAGTGAGCACAACAGCTGGTACTGCACCGATCCGAAGCCAGGAACCAGAAATCTCTTCCAGGTCTCCCATGTGGGTGCAGGGTCCCAAGGCTTTGGGCTGTCTTAGACTGCTTTCCCAGGCCACAAGCAGGGAGCTGGATGGGAAGTGGAGGTGCTGGGATTAGAACCAGCACCCAAATGGGATCCTGGCGTGTTCAAGGCAAACACTTTAGCCGCTAGGCCAGGCTGTTGGGCCCACTCCCAGTAATTCTTAGACTTGTTCTCAGGCCACAGTGGAGGCTTCCAGCAGCCCTGACCACTGCACTCACCTAAGCTGGGCCAGTCCAGTTCTCTGAAGAAAGACAAGTTGGCTGCTAAGAAGGTGACACCCCAGGGGTGGGGTCCACTCTGAAGACCTATTTCCTGGGACACGGAAGGACACCCCAGGTCTCTGTGGAAGAATCCTCTTCTCTCCATTAGTTACCATTGGTATCTGTGACTAGCACCAAGAAACCTTAGTACACATGAGGTCTCTATACATAATTCATTTTTTCCTGTAATTCATATCCTCCTGAGGGAGCACGAACTTAAAAAAAAAAAAAAGTTTCGGGCCTAGCATGATGGCTCAGTGGCTACATCCTTGCCCTGCAAGCTCCAGGATCCCATACAGGCACTGGTTCCTGTCCTGGCTACTTCATTTCCCATCCAGCTCCCTGCTTGTGGTCTGGAAAAGCAGCAGAGGACAGCTCAAAGAGTTGGGACCCTGCACCCACATGGAAGATGCAGAGGGACTTCCTGGCTCCTGGCTTTGAATCAGCTCAGTTGTGCCCACTTGGGGAGTGAATCAGTGGGTAGAAGATCTTTCTCTCTGTCTCTCCTTCTCTCTGTAAATTTGTCTTTCCAGTAAAAATAAATAAATCTTTAAACAAAACAGTTGTAAGATGAAGATATGCTACATACAATCTTAATGCAGTTGAATTACTTGTAGAATTTCCCCAAACATCCTTTACTTCATTTTATTTTAAATGATGCTCTCTGCACCCCTGTACCTTGCTCTTGGTGACAAAAAGGTCCTGGGCTGTCAACTGGGCAGGCATGCGTTCACTAGCAAAGGTGCGCTCGCTGCTCAGTAGCACGTGGGACAGAACCAGAAGTTCATGTGATGATCATCTCTTGGTCAACAGAACCATTGATGCCTACCGCTGGCAAGCTGGAGCGGCCCGGACCTCGAAGGAGCCCCAAGATGGAAGGGGACTCCTGGTAGAGCAAAGAGACCTTTAGAGACCTAACCCATTGGGATGGAGTTCGGGAGACTTATCTGTGTGCATCTATTATAATTCACATTATAATGTGAAAAGGAAGCAAAGCACCAAAGAGAAATTTTTGAAATGAAATCTTCCATCAGAGAAATAAAAAATACCACTGAGAGTTTTAATAGCAGAATAGACAAGTGGAAGAAGAAATTTCTGACCTCCAGGGTAAGAATAACCCAACCAGACAACATTAAAGAAAAAGTATGAAGACAGATCTATGCACAATATAGAACACTATTAAATGACCAAATGTTTGTGTTACAACTGAAGGAGAAGAAGAGGAAGCTATTGAGAACCTGCTAAGTAAGAGGATGATTGAAAATTTCTCAGCCATTGAAGGAGAAATGGACATTCATTATAAGAACCCTAAGCCAATTCAGCTAAAAACCAAATAAAAATATCTTCCCCAGGGGCCTGTGCAGTGGCACAGCAGGCCAATCCTCCACCCTGCAGCTTTGGCATCCCATATAGGTGCTGCCTCACTTCTGATCCAGAGCTGTGCCCATCAGAAGCCAGGAGCTTTGACCACGTCTTCCACTTTGATACAGGATAAGGGATGTCAGATATGCCAGAAGGTTTCTAACTCACAGCACTCAAAGTCCTCCCAGCATTAGATTCTTCAGAGTTATCGCTAGGGCAGGTTGTGCATGGGCCGCAAGCCACCCTGCACCAATCACCAAGCACTTAAGCAGTTACTATGACCCTCGTTGAGCCTGCAGATTCACTGCTGATATTTCAATTCCTCCTGTTGATTGGACTGGAAGTTCCTGGGTCCTGCAAGCCGGTAGTGCAGTACTACAGAATACCCCACGGGGGCAGTCCAGGATCAGGGAAAAGAGACCCGACTCGCAGGGACGGAACCTTTTAGGTTGTCTTTCCTGGAAGCTCAGCCAGAAGCAGCGAGGAGTTGCAGTCCTAAGGGAGTAGTTTTAAGAGGATGCTGAAGCAGAGACAAGTTGGAAGTCAGGGATCCACTTGCTCAGCCTGGGCAGCATCTTGAGCAGGTGGTCGAGAGCTGTGCTGTTCCACACAGCGGCCTCCAGCCACGGTGCCACTGAGCACTTGAAATGGGGCTCATCTAAATTTGGAAGTGCCGCTTCAACTACACACTGTATCTTACTTAGTATAGACAAGTAGTATCTAATGCTTTTGTAGTGATGTGTTGAAATGATACTACTTGATTCAGTAAAATATAGGAGCTAATTTTACTTTTTTAGCTATTCAAAATTTTGTAAGTGTGTGTGTTTATGTGGTTCCCATTATATTTCTTTTGCTTTTAAAAAATGTTATTGCTTTCATTTGTGTGAAAGTTGGAGAGGAACAGATATCTAACCCGATATGGTCAGGACTGGGCCAGGAAGCCAGGAGCCAAGAACCCAATCCGAGTCTCCCATGTGGGAGGCAGGAACCCAAGTAGTTGACCCATCATCTATTGCTTCCATGTCAGGGTGTGCATCAGCAGGAACCTGGATTGGAAGTGGAGCCAGTGCTTGAACCCAAGCACTTCAATACGGCATAGGCCTGCTCCCATCAACAGTGACACCAGAAAAATAAAAATAAAAAAGGCTTTATTTGATGTGTTTTAACTGGCTATTTATTTGAAATGAAAACGTAGTCTGAAATAATAGTATTAAGTTGGTTACTGTGTTTCAAGACACAGCCAATATTTTAATCCTGGTTCTGCAGGGCAAACCATGAGAATGGGAGATGGTCCCCCTCCCCTGGATTCCTGAGCGATGATTTTCCTTCCTATGATGAATTCTCTTCACTATCTGTCTTAACTGAGATTGGAGGACTAACCCCGGTGCCACGTGTGAAGAAATCATTGTACTGGAGTGTTCTCAAACTTGACTCTGTTATAATCACCTGGGAAGCTATTACAAAGCCCAATTGCCCAGACCACAGCAGACCCACGAACCCCTCACCGTTGGCAGCCAAAGCTTCAAATCCTCTGTGGGTTCTGCAAACCACCTAGCTTCAAACTCTGACCCAGCCATCGAGCCCTGCACATTCAGGATATTGAAGCATGAGATCATCGAAGTGAGCCAACTGGAAGAGAGCAGGCTGGGGTGCGTGCGCTCTGGAGCAGGCATCACTGACCAGCTGTTTTCTGAAGTCACATCTGCAAGATGTTCCCCCATCCGACGCTCATTCAGCGAGTGGGGCTGATCCTCACACAACAGGAGGTGTGTACACCTGTGCCCCTGCTTCCTCAGCGCAGGACAACTTGTGTGTGTGTGTGTGTGTGTGAATATGTGTGTGTCCCCATTCAGGTTGTAAAGGATCATCAGCTGAAACAAGCTCATCTAACAAGAGACTCAGCCAAGCCAGCCTTAGCGCTGCAGGCTGCAACCCCTGGTGCTGGTCCCTGCTCTGCCACTTACAGACTGCGCTGCAGGGAGCAATCTGCTGTCTTGGGCTGTGCGTGTACCTCTCTGCGGAAGAGCTCCCCGCCCTGGCCCGCTCAGCACCGCGCCTGGGCACCTGTTCAAAGCCTGCATGCCGGCGAGGTCCTCAGGAAACAGTAACAAGAGCGCCCACCAGGGGCAGCTGGGGCAGCAGGCCGCGGCCAGCGCCCGGGCAGTCGCGCTTGACGTCAGCACGGAGGCCCCGCCCCGTGGCCTTGGCAGTGACCGTGACCGTGGGCGGCGCGAGGGCAGCGTCTGAGACGCGCGGCCCAGGAGCGTAACCAACCGCGCCATGGGGGCCGAGGCCTCGGAGGGCCGGCCGGCGCTGCGGGAGCTGCTGCGCGAGGCCGAGATCAGCCTGCTCGAATGCAAGGTGTGCTTTGAGAGGTTCGGCCACCGGCAGCAGCGGCGGCCGCGCAACCTGCCCTGCGGCCACGTGGTCTGCCTGGCCTGCGTGGCCGCCCTGGCGCACCCGAGGACGCTGGCCCTCGAGTGTCCCTTCTGCCGGCGAGCCTGCCGCGGCTGCGACACCAGCGACTGCCTGCCGGTGCTGCACCTGCTGGAGCTGCTGGGCTCCGCACTGCGCCCGTCGCCCGCCGTCCCCCGCGCCGCCGCCGCCGCAGCCTGCGCGCCCGGGGCCCTCACCTGCCAGCACTCCTTCGGCGGCTGGGGCACGCTGGTCAACCCCACGGGGCTGGCGCTGTGCCCCAAGACGGGGCGGGTGGTGGTGGTGCATGACGGCAAGAGGCGAGTCAAGGTCTTTGACAGCGGGGGAGGGTGCGCCCACCAATTTGGGGAGAAGGGCGACGCTGCGCAAGACGTCAGGTACCCCCTGGATGTCACCGTCACCAACGACTGCCACGTGGTGATCACCGACGCCGGCGACCGCTCCGTCAAGGTGTTCGATTTTTTCGGCCAGGTCAAGCTCGTGGTCGGAGGTGGCCGCTTCTCGTTGCCCTGGGGGGTGGAGATCACCCCTCAGAACGGGGTGGTTGTGACCGACGCCGAGGCAGGGGCGCTGCACCTCCTGAAGGTGGACTTTGCGGAAGGCGTCCTCCGTGGCACGCAGAGGCTGCAGGCGGCTCTCTGCAGCCCCCGCGGGGTGGCCGTGTCCTGGCTCACCGGGGCCATCGCGGTGCTGGAGCATCCTGCTGGCGGCAGCACCAGGGTCAAAGTGTTCGGCTCCAGGATGCAGCTCCTCGGACAGGTGGACACCTTCGGGCTGAGCCTCTTCTTCCCCTCCCAAGTAACGGCTTCGGCGGTCACCTTCGATCACCAGGGGAATGTGGTCGTGGCTGAGACCTCTGGGGCCGCCATCCTATGCCTGGGAAAACCTGAGGAGTTCCCGGTGGTGAAGCCCATGGTCACTCAGGGGCTTTGCCGTCCTGTGGCCCTGGCCTTCACCAAAGAGAATTCTCTCCTGGTGCTGGACGCAGCATCCCATTCTGTGAAGGTCTACAAGGTTGACTGGGGGTGACAGGGCTTGGGTCCTGGAGCTGACGCTAGGGATTGCGGGAACCCTGGAGCAGTCACCTCATCCTCATCGGTGCAGGCGAGGGAGATCGCACCTGCTCTGCAGGCTTAGAAACGCTGGGACTGTCTGCTGTTTATGGAATGCATACTCTCTAGGCTGAGAAATATGAATGTGTGACCATTTAACCTGTAACACCCAACGAGGTGATGGCTCAAACCAACCCCATCTCTGAGTTGAGAAAACTGGCACCCAGAGAGTTGAAGCAAATCCTTAGGATCACAGCAAGTTAGGTCAGTCAGAATTGACCCTCAGTCTGGACTTTAACATCCCTTTCTCTTAAATCATAGATATGGAGGAGAAATAAAGAATGTGAGTAGAAACTGCTGCTAACTGTAGTCTCTTCCCAAAGAAAGGAGTCTTCATAGAGAATTCAGAGTTCATTGGCTCAAGTTGGCTGTCAATTTGTAATTCCTCTGTATCTGAATTGCTTGCTAAAAGGTGAGCTTGTCTTTTTCTTTTCCTTGAGATTTATTTATTTTTATTGGAAAGGTAGATTTACAGAGAGAAGGAGGGACAGAGAGAAAGGTCCATTGGTTCACTTCCCAAGTGGCCGCAATGGCCAGAGCTGAGCCGATCTAAAACCAGGAGCCAGGAGCTTCTTCTGGGTTCCCACATCGGTGCAGAGGCCTGAGGACTTGGACCATCCTCTGCTGTTTTCCCAGGCCACAAGCAGGGAGCTGGGTGGGAAGTGGAGTAGCTGGGACACAAACCCACACTCATAATGGATGCCTGTGCTTGCAGGTAGAGAATTAAGCAGTTGAACCGACACACTGGCCTTGTGAGGGTTTTTTTTTTTTTAGCACCTATATATTCCCTGTAGGCACTCAGGAAATTCTTCATATTATGTAGCTGAAAAAGACTTGTGTTGGTGGAGGTAGCAGCTGAGGGTGGGCTGACATTCAGCTACCTCCTTCACCACGGTAAGTTCATGGCCGAAGTTGTTCTTGTTTGCCATTTCCTAGTTGGTGGGAAATTACACCACATTGCGATGGGGTTTTTTTTTCCTACAATTTAAATTCATTCTCTGTATTGTAAATACTGTGTTCTCAATAAACATTTCCATTAATCCTTTTAGGCCCCTGGCAAACACTTAAATACTCCTTCAGTTGAAGGGTAGCCTTGACAGAGGCAATGCCAGCTTCATGTTGTAACAGAGCCATTGAATGGGAAACTACAGGCGAAGCGGCCGGTTCTTTGTAAGGTGTATGGTTTTAGCTAGTGCAAACATCTTAGCATGGAAGACTACTGGAATAGTACCAAAGAACTGGCAACTCAATTGCAGTGGCAGCAGTATTTGCTCAGGGAGGAAATAATTGCTTGTAAATGGTGAAAGTTTGCTCTAGGTAAAAACTGGTGATTTGTCAGCAACACCATATTCTCTTACACAAAGAATTTTGATAGATAACTATGTTAGAGACAGGCTCCTAGTTATGAATAACAGAGAATGTGGCTCCCCTGCCAGTTCCCCAAAGCTCATTTTACCTTCCAGCACTGTTCCCATCACATAACTGTTAAGATTTCAGGTTCTTTGGGCCACCATTGGTGAATGTATTCCAAATAGGAATTTCAGGGGCAGGTCCCTTCACACACATTTACACACACAAACCCCTTTGGAGTTACACTAGATCGATCGCATCACACATATTCTGAGTGCAACAGCTGGGGAGGATAAGGTCAGATTTGACAGGTAACTGAGAATCGCTCTTAAAACATTGTCCTTAGGTACGTTGGTATCCCAGTGTCTTGGGGTTAGGTGAGCCAGATCATCATGAGATTTTCTCCTTGTGATTACCAATGGCAATATTTTTGGCTAGGTAGTTGGTCTCCCAAATTCATGGGAGGTTTCCACATCCATGGATTCAACCAATCCACATAGTAAATAAATGGAAAAAAAAACCCCTGGGTCTATACAGAGTTTTTGGTGTTTTTTAGGTTTTGTTTTGGTCATCATTCCCTAAAGAATGAAGTGTAGCAATTGATTTGGAGAACATTTATTTCATATCAGGTATTACAAGTAATCCAGATTATTGGAGTGTTTGGGAGGACGTGTGTGGGTTTTATGCAAATGTTGCCCCATATTATACAAGGGACTGGAGCAAAGTGTGGATTTTTATATCCATGGCAGTGTTGGGAGTTGGGGGGCCAGCATCAATCCTTTGTGAATGCCAGGGAATGACTGTGACTGTGCCTGTAGCATGTCCAGAGAGCGCTCACAGCAAAGCGGAAGAAAATGCAACATAGTTGCATGCAAGTGAGGCAGGGGGTGCTCGCTCCTGGGTGGATTATCCAACCAGAAGGATTGAGTGTGAATCTGGGAGATGACCTGGGAGTGTATCAGAGCCATGGGGATGAGCTCCCTTGCTAACTGTTGTATCTCCCTGCTAGATTAGCAGGCTTGGGAGGAAGGTGAGGGGGATATGTCACATGAGGATCCCACATCAGCTCTTCCCAGGAAAGCTGTTTATGATGCAGAAGTTGAGTGTCACACACACACACACACACACACACACACACACACACACACACACCAAGGGGGGGTAGTTTTCACATCTGTAAGGCAGGTATGAAATTCTGGACTGTTCTTTAGAGCAAATCAACATCCAGGTTACTGAAGAAATTGCAGAATTCTGAGCTAAGCAGGAATAAATCACTCCAGTAAGAAGTAAAAGGTTCGAAGGTAATGGAGAAGAGTTGGAATGACGCTCAGAGACTGAGCCAAAAGAATGTGGCCAGGAGCAGAGGCAGCAGGGGGAGAAATGGTTCTAGCAGAAAGTCCAGCATGTACCACCTAGTGAGTTATAAAAGCAAACACAGCCTTTTGGCCACTGTCTCAGCAGCTCTCACGTCACCTGCCATCTGTTCCACTTAGCCCAGTTCCTGATCCCTGGGTTATCACCTGTGTTTGACCTCATTCTACCCTTGGGACTTGCCATCTGGACTTGGCATTTTCTAAAGACTTTGGTTTGGATTCATAAATCTCCCACCTGCCTACTCTAGCTCTGGAGCTCATGACCCAAACCATCACCAGTGGCGAGTGAGTGCCTTAACTAGGTCCTTGCTGATCCACCTCCTCCACTATGTGGAGCGCAGAGTCCTCAGAAATGAATTGTGCATCTTTTGAGAAGGAAGCATTATTGCATGTGCCTCAGGAAAAAGAGGAAGAACCAATGATGACAGCAAATTGAATAATCCTTACACCTGCCACAGAGAGAAGGAATATCCACTGGTAGTGAATGTCCCACTGATGGAGACAGACAAGGGTGGTGTGTCATGGTCTAGTGCGAGATGACTATTTGCTTAAAGAATATGGGAGAAAACAGAGGTTGCCAAAAACTCATTACAACCTTTATCCTGGACCAATGTAGTATTTACTGTGCTCCCAGCTACTTGCAAGGAGAACTGCCCCTTAACCAGCCCTGACCAGGAGCCCATCCTCCGCAGCCAAGCCTAGCTGGTGCATCTCCTCCAGGAACAACTGACTGATGAAGTGTGTGCATCTGTCCGACCAGCAGCCACTCCCTCCATTGAGTGTACTAACTGAACCAGGAATCTGGCTGTGAATTGGCATGGGATGAACACGTTTTCCAAAAAAAAAAAAAAAAAAAGGGAGGAGGGTGGGTTTAGGGGTGTCAATGAGATCCAGTTAGGTTCTTGGAACTTTTAAATTGAGTACTAGGGAGTACGTCAAGCTGATGGCAGTCTGAAGGGTGCTGCAAGCAGGTTTAGTGAGAGAAGCACAGAGCAAGCCAGGCAACAGGCAAAAGGAGGCTGTGAGACAGGGAAAACAGCCCACTGGAAAGGGTCCAGGTCAGCATCTAGACAAACTGCAGCTTAGGAACCTAGGAGCCTGTCACCATGGGGCCAGCTCACAGATCCCTGTTGCTGAGGCTGCTGGAGCTGCCATGTCTTTGCTTCTCTGCAGGATCCAGATGCACTCTGCTTTCTGTCTTTGAAGTCCCAAGAGCTCTCTCTCTCTCTCTCTCTCTCTCTCTCTGATTCCATACAGGCCCCTTTGCTCCTCCACTTAGGATGGGGTGCTATCTTGATACACCCCTGAGAAATGAAAGACATCACAACTGGGGGATGCACTGCATGTACCTGACACAGCCTGGTTCAGCCACACAGGACACTGCAGAGGATTTGGGACTGTGCTCACTGCCAACGCCCAGCATTTCCTGGGAAGATGAGACCACACAGAGCTAGCCCAGGAGAGATCCAGGTTCCACCTTCCAAGTATGCCTCCTGTTGCCTGCACATCATTCTTGTAAATAGTAGAAAGTCAAAATTTAAGTCAAACCATCCTGTGTTGGGACCATCTGGACTAAAATACTCCCTTGCTTCAGCTAACCAGCATGATTGTTTTTCCCAACAGGAACTGTCCCCTTTCCGCCCTCCCCCCAATCGTAGCATGTTTGCTAATCCCTTTGGAGGAAAGAGGACCTTAACATACTGATGTGAATGTCAGGAGCCAGTGCTGTAGCATTGTTGGGTTGAACCACTGCCATGTTCAACACTGACATCCCTTATGGCTGGTGGTTTGAGTCCTGGCTGCTCTAACTTCTAATCCACCTGCCTTCCAATGTGCCTGGGAAAGCAGCAGAAAATGGTCCACATCCTTGGGTCCCTTGCCCCTGTGTGGGAGGCCTGGATTTAGTTCTCGGTTCCCAGTTTCAGCCTGGACTAGCTCTGGATGTTGAGGCCATTTGAGCAGTGCATCAGCAGATGAAAGATCTGTTTCTCCCTAACTCTACCTTTCACATAAATAAATCTTTGTTTTAAAAAATAACACCCTAATTCTGTGGGCACAACACTTTCCCATCAACACATTCTCTAAAAATACTAATGGGGCAAGATCAGTGTACAAATGGAGGTTCACAAACCACAGATCTTAGTATGTATGAATTACAAACAAGTCAACAAGCTGTTTGATAAAATGCATTCAATTATCCTACCTTGACCAAGGCACAAATATCCTTTGGAATGGGCATTGCTAGAGAGCTGAAGATGTTTTATGGGATGCTCACATCCCATACTGGAATGTCTGGATTCAAA